CGGTACTCATGGTCAGACCTAGCGCGGCAGCAGTGAAGTTTACCGAACAGCTGTGCGAAAATGTATCGTCGTTATTTGTTCCCTAGTAGTTTCTATCCGCGGTTAGGTTGTAGTCGCCTCGCTGCACACTCGGTGTGCTCAATTTGCGCAGATAAGACCGTGCGGCTAACCTGAACGGCCTTAAAGAAAAAGTTAGAAACACATAAGACTGTAATCCGCGTGGGACGCTAAGAGAAGTTACTAAACAGAAGGTTTTCTTTCTTGACCAACTTTGTTGGTCAAACCGATCTAAGAAAACTTAACCATCTTAAATGTTTTACGAATCGAACGTGATCATCGATGCAAAAGTTAGAAATATTACCTAATCTTTTCCACTTGAATAAAAAAAAAAAAGAATTATTGGGTGCTGCTGAAAGAATTAAATTCTGACGTATCTTGTGTGCAGTTAAATGTTAATTCAAATTATTTGCATTTTTATTCGAATTATAGTATTTTTAATAATCTCTTTAAAATACCAATTTCATATTACAAAAATGAATGGTACCTTTTAAAATTTTTATTGCATTATCTTTTTAAAACATTTGTAAAATATGTATTTGCTGTTCTTGGTGATTAATTGGCTCATATATGCACATAAACCACATAGACTCACTTTTTGCGCGTATTCTAGGCGGTCACGTCAAATGTATCGTGATAGTAACTTCCATTTTCGATCGGTTCGCCGTCGATTCTCAATATCTATACGGACGGCTTAATGAAATTTTCGAGGGTTTCGACTCTGCCATAAATTTCTATCGCCGACAGCGATCTCGTTCGCTGATACACAAAACCGGACAAAGTCGACGCGGAGTCGAGAGAGAATACTCGCGTAACTTCATTCTCGACTCATCGTAATTCAGCCCGCATGTACGACCCTATTTTCGTTGCAATGATTAAGATCGCCCGATTTATTCTATGGATTTATATTCGCGCGAAATGCAATCGTACGTCGCTCGGGGAAAGCTTTCGAATGTTCTACGTGACTCACGATTTCTATACACAATTCGTCGTACAATTCCTACAATTTGTCTCCAAATTTCTATCACGCGATAAATTTCAAACATTACTTTAAACTTATTATTTAAAATCAGCGCAACACCTGGACCAACGTCATTCACCCGTAAACTTTTTTTCAAATGCTGAAGCGTATTTTTAATATCCTCGTGATGTAGCTTTCCTAGAAGTATAGGAAAATGCGGTCTTATATACATCGTGAACTTACTCGATCGTCCCCGTTGCCTCTCGCTCCTAGTCGTATCCTTGCGTCCAATACCCATCGTTCGCGGTGGTGCGAGAACTGTTCGAGCAAAAGCGACCGGGTAAATATCTTGCAGTGCCGGTAAACGAAATTGAATAAACATTTTTCAGCAAATAGAGCCCACAATGGTACGAATTTAAAAGTCGCTGAGACGAGCACAGGTGGTTCCCCTGTCGCTGGGAAAAGCGCCGAACGGAAAAATTGCATTTCGCCTCTCCCCTTGTCCCTCTACTCCGTCACATTTCGTTTCTCTCTTGCACATTTTTCGATCCGCTGTCACTCTTTTCCTGCCTTTTCTCATCTCTTTCCTGTCCATCTATGCTTTTCTGCACTACGAGAATCCCCATAAAGCTCTATCTTTCGTCGACGACGAAGCCGTCGGTGATGTAATCGACTTTTGTGCTGGTTATCCTTCGATTCTCGCTGCGAATTGGTTATAAATGCTAATGTACGAGCCAGCTGCGATGCAATCTCTGAAATAACGTTTCAACATGAGACGTGCAGTTTTAATTTTGATGAAATTTCAACGAAATTTCACGAAATTCCACGAAATTCCATGAAATGATAGTATATTCGGTACATCGGACAAAATCTGGAAACGGTATTACGGAACATGTACATTTTAATTTGTTTTTATTCAGTATAATTTTTCCTGCGAGCTATTTCCTTTTGTACTATTAAGCTTTATAATATTAATACATGGGATTTACAATTTATATTACGTACATTATTACGGATTTCACAGAATACTTTCTTTAAATATCCGATCAATAAATGTTATTTTATGAAAAAAAATCGAGGTTAATTTTTTTGAAGCATGCCTTTATCATCTTTAGAATGAAGGCGGACGGCGTTTGTTACGCACCAGTGATCTGGCAGTCTTACAACGTCGTTCACACGATATACAAGCTTAAAGGGGATATATATATATCGATAATAATTAATAGAAAGTAATAAATAAAGAAGACACTAACAATAGAGAATATAAATACCAATCGTTTTGAGAACGTTCGCGATGTCAGAAACGCAAGCTCGTAAATAAGTCGTAAAAAGGGGGAGAAAGGGGGCTGCAAATCAAGACGAAAGAAGGAGAGATCAGATCCGATTTACGATCAGCAGCCTGACTTGGCAGTTTGTTCCGCGGTAGGATCGTTTCTTCGCCGCAGAGAACGGAAGCCGATCGAGCGCAACAATCGATCACGCCAAACGATAAATTAGCGTCGAGTTAGTATCCGACGTCCTTACTTCGATTATATTCGTGTGAATGTGATTGTCGAGAAGTGGTCTCGTTATACAAGACTGTGTACATTGTGCATATTTAGACAACTATGAATGCGAATGACCAGTAGAGGATGAATTTTGGGGGATGTTCCGCTATTCTGCGAGCGAATACCAAATTTGACTTTCCCTCGCTATTATTAAGCTCCACTTCTGGCTTTATTGTTATGGTCGGGTTAGAATTAATTCTGGGATATATAATTAGAGAATATATATATTGTCTAATTACGGGCCAGATATTATTTGCATTCGTTGAAACACTATTGAAGACGCAATATTATTTTGCGTATTTTAATATTGAAAATATTACGCTACATTTCTGCGGATCATCCATCGGCTTACGCATTATGCAAATCATTTTTCATGAAAGTTTCAAAACCACCCGTATCTCCCGAGCTCGCGTCTTAAATCACGGTGAAGAATAAAGAGGACGGTGACGCGAATCGGTTGATCTTGCTATGCATTTATGGATGTCGAACGTACGAAGAAAGCAATATTTTCTGCGCCGAATCCATCGTCGTTCCTCTCGATCCGCGGACTTCTATCTCGCAGCCGTCTATTGCTCGTCTCTCGATTCATTCTGTTTTCCTTTTTCTGTATTTCCCATAATGGCAGAGTCTACCATGACCGTCGATTATTGTCCCCGTTGGAAAGCTCCAGGTGACCGAGTGCAAGTATACAGGAAAACACGTAGCTCGAAAGTTTCCCGCGATTTCCCCCAGGGCCCTCGAATAATTCTACGTCGAAAGTCCTTCTGGAATTCAACCGTCTTTCTTAGGACGTCGAAACAGTCACGGACGAGCAATGCCGATGTCGGGATTCTCACAAATTCCGACTGGAAATAAAATTCGTCCGAGTGCATTGAATTCCCTGATATTACGAAAGTACGAGTGTTTCCCGTAAAAAAAATATGGGCGACACATGGATAGTTCATTGAATCGTGAGGCAAGCATTAATTAATTATCGCGACACGGAATTAATGATCGAGAGACTTAACATTAATTACTTAACGTTCTTTCGAGAAAAGTAATGTAAGTAATCGAATCTCTTTTTCTTCTTTCAGGGCCCAGCGAAGCACGAAAGTGGCGACGTTCTTGAATTTCAAGATAGACCAGGTCTGGAAGACAACACGCGATTTATTTACATGCGGTAAATGCAAGCGCACCTCTCGTGGCACATGAAAGATATAAGTAAATTACAGGTTCGACTTCGGTTGTGCTAATCGGCTTTCCAACGTGCGGAAAGTCCAATTCTCTATAGAGAGACCGCTCGCGAGACAGCTCGACGGTGCATTAAAACGGCGCGGAAATTCGTTCAGGAGACGAAGAGATAAAATAAGGAAAAAGCTTCGCTAAAACATTCAGTGAGCACGAACCAGCGCCCACGGACGTACATCGGACTTGCTTATTACGGAAATCTAGTTTGTTGAAATGAGGCTTTGAAGTTTCCATCGCTTGCCGACGAACTGTGCTCCACCTTCTTCCGCTGCCATTCGTTTTTTGCACTCGAAGCCGACGGAAAGATGGGAGAGCGGAAAACTGAGCGGCTTCGCATTCAGACGGTAGGGAGAAAGTTTAAGTGACTCATGGAGACTCTTTCGAAAATTTCCTCCGCTCCTTTCTCTAAGTTTCTGTTTTCTCGATGAGAGTGAGAAATATATAGAATAGAAAGAGGGTGAGAGGAAGGAGGAAAAGATTAGCAGCCCCAGTTTCTCGAAGGCGTTATTTTTCATCCATTTTCTACGTATTACGTGGTAATGCATTAGTCGACGCAAAGTAATACTTGTACAGCTTTTCGTTTACGAACTTAAATTAAGTCATATAACTTGAGCCGTTTTAACACCGCGCAAGTTGATCACGAATGAATGCGACGAACAATGAATAATTATTCATGTGATATTTAATCTCCTCTTTCTTATAAAAACTTAAACAAAACATTTGTTTTTCAGAGTACTACGTATTTATTTATCTTTTATAACGTTACTAATTACTATCATTTCTGTAAAGCTAATTACAATAATGTTGAAATATTTAAGTTAGAAAAACGTTAAATTTAAAAATCGGTTCTTTAAAATATCTTCTCCTTTGCAAGAGAATATTTTTATAATATCAGCCATCAGTGTCCGCAACAAAAGGGTTCTGAGAGGTAACTAATATCACAGAACATATTTCGAACATCGATTTTCTCTATAGAATTCCAATCCACATTCCAGCCAGGACGATCCTGCTATGGAAAAATGACGGAAGTGCCCGCGCTATGTACGATCGAGCGTCCTTTTGCTGTCAGAAGAACCTTCCAGGACATCATTCAGTCGAGCGATTTCGACCGCGCCTCATAATAAGAAATCGACAGTGACGAAAATCATAGTGACATCTGGCCGAATGATGCCGGTGAATTTGAGTGGTAGTCGAAAAAACGCGAAGAGAGATCCGTCCCTTAGATTATAGCTCACGCGAAACTCCAGTCATGCGGCTGTGGCGATTGAGTCTACGAGATTCGAGGACACGTGTACGAAGAAAACCCTATTATAAATCTCCGTTCCTGCCGAGAATCTTCGTTATCGTAAAGTATGATAATCCGAGATAATTGTATGCACAATCGTGACGAACGAATGAACGTAAGCAAACAGTGAACGAATTAACGATCGTTACGCCCGAACAGATAACAGAGTGTAAAACCTTTGACACTCTGTCACGTGCGTCACTGAAAGCCGATGAATCTTTCGCCTTCGGCTGATAACTCCATCATCACCAGAAATAAGTGGTAGATGGCAAATGCGCGCGTACGACGACATATCCGGCGATAAATGCGAAACTGACGGCGACAGGACTCGGTGATTTTGTAGATAGGACAAACAAGAGAGGATGGAGAAGGACAACGTTAGACATTATAGAGCTTACGAGGGCTTCAAGCCGGCGAATAACGGCAACACCTCGTCCCTAAAGAGATCGACGTCGGAACGCTCGAAGACGCACCCATCTCGCCAAGTGAGGTGTTTGTGCTTCGGCGGTGTGCCTGACAAAGCCAGTCAGCATTCTTTCTTGAAGGGGTTTATCATAAACATCGGAATATGCTCCCTTCTTGTGGCTTACACCTTATTGGGCAGTTTCATCTTTCTGGCTATCGAGAGTGGGACCATTGACGGTGTCGGCCTGCAACAGAGGACCCTGGCCACGACGATAGCTGGAAATCAGCACACCAGGAGGAACACCAGCGCTTGGATAAAACAGGTGAGAGAATGAAATTGCTCTATACATTTACCGTATCTTGATTCTTTTCAGTAGAAATTTTATGTAGTAGTACTTTAGTAGTAATTCTGCTATCTTTTCTTTGAGAAATATCGCGCTCTTTTGAAATCACGAGTGATAAATATTGGAGTATATATTTTAAATCATGGGCGATTTCCTTTTCAAGAAGTATCCTCGTTATGCTCAAATGTAGCTGTAAAGCATAGACTATAAGAAGTTATGTGACCACTCAACAAAGATATATGACGAAACTGTTTCTCGAACGTAAAAAAAGTCGTAGATATATTTCTTAATAACTGTGTAGGATGTGTACATACGAGCAAGTGCAGTAAAAATAAGAATAATAGGAGAAGAGTAAACAGATTTGTCGATACACTATGAGTGCATGACAGTTGTCTGGAAGAGCAAACAGTTCCGGCGGCACTAGATCTCGATTTATCGTCACGTCTCCGGTTTCATTCCGCTTTTCTACCTGAGGTGACCTCAGTGAACCCGAAGTCAATCGAATTATCGGTGCGTTCTGGCGCGAAGCACTCGTTTCAACGAAGTTTTATCGATCGTGCTTTCTTTCCGCTATCCTTACGCTTTACAGGAAAAGCGTATTCCCCGAGGACATTGGCACAAAGGCTGCTGTCTGTTGCTTCCGGCCAATAATAGCAACAACGAATTGTTCTCTCGATAGCAATCGCTCATCGGCAAACGATTGAATATTCGTGTTCTTTTTATAAATAATTCTTCTGATTTTATTGTTGCGCCACTAGAAAAAAAAACCTTTTTCTGTTGCGTTTTATCAACTTACCTTTTGTCTGTGCAAAACTTCTGAATTTTCTGTTGTACGGTTCAATAACGAAGCAATTACACAGAGTTCACCATTTGTCACAAGATATAAAATTCGAAACATGCTGCATTCAAACCCATCTGACGTGTGTTAATTAACGAGCGCGCGCGAGTTTAATTTAATCGACAGTATGTCAATTATAATCTTAAGACGAACGTATAGACATAGTCCACAGTACCTGACGATATTTCAAACATCGCTTAATTAATAACTTTTGCTGTGTATGATGAAAGCTGAATCACGAGGCCCGGACGAAGACCGTGGAGAACATATGGATAATCACGGAGCATTTGAACGTTCTCTACCGTGAGAACTGGACGAAATTGGCCGACCAGGAGATCGCACGATTTCAGGAGCAACTAGTGAAAAGGATCACGGAGGACATGATGGCGACCCAGAATGCCGGGACGTACACCGGGAGTTCTACCAGCGAAACTGTAACGGAACGCCGTGTGCCGGAATACGAATGGAACTTTGCAAAGGCGTTTCTCTATTCTCTGACAGTACTCACCACAATCGGTAAGTTTCAGACGTAATTAATTAATTATAATGTCGCATGCACCCATTTTGTTCGCGCTTTGGCGACGCCTCGCGTCTCATTCTCTGAACGTAATGAGATTCCAACGAACCAGAACTACGTCAAAATGTGATATCATATGTCAACTACAGAAACTAGAAATTACAAATTTTTTGCCTATTAAATTCTTTAATATATTTTTAACTTTTTTAATACAATATATTTTTACCTTTTTAAAACAATAATATATTTTAACTTTTTACATTATTATTAATGTCATTTTAACTTCTCTTCGCATTTATATATGTATGTATATATATATATTATTATTATATACATAAGAAACACAATATTGAGTTTGGAATTTGCACGTTGATGAAAACCTTCGTGGCTTAATGCAAAAATTAATCTCGCTAACATGAATATAATAACTAGGAACAAATAATTCATAAATTGTAATATACCTATGGCAATTACAGTAATAGTACGATAAACAACGACATACAAATCAGTATCAGCAAGCATACGCATCGAAACTACAAAGTGCATAGATGATGTTTGCTTCTCCACTTGTACTTGTGCTATTTCCCATCTGCGCAAGCACTATACATGTGTACGAAGGCATAAGTTTACACAAAAGGAGTGCTAGCGCATCAGAATATTTGTATGTAATTAGTAGGCTAGGAGGAAACGGAGACGAGACACGAAAAGACACTGGCGCACAGACGGATAATTAGTTGAATCAAATACTACGTCAATTAGCTCGCGATGTTAGTTAGAGGAACAATACTTGCGCGTTAATAGCACTGATAATGTAACTCGCAGTTACATTGAAGTTTTTACTTTATTTAAATAATTTATAAATTAACACTTTCTTACTTCTTACGATAGAATTCAATACTTTTCTAAATAAGCTATTCACAAATTTTAGTTTTTTCTTATTCGATCGGTTTTTCATTATTCGTAGGGAAAAATGTTATCAAGGAGTTTTATTAAAATTTCATAAAAATCCAATTGCATCACAAATTACGAGGAAAGTAAAAAAACATTCCGTAATTAAACGAATCTCTTTGTTGAGGTAAAGTGGTATTGATCGAGACATTCTATGATTTAAAATTGTCGTTTACGAAACGAAAGTATAAAATAAAGATAACATAGCGCGCATCAATTTTTGGAGCAAGCATAGTTCGACGTTAATGTGTAATGGCCGCGCAATGCAAATTCGTTGTCCATCTTAGAGATATCGATTTCCTTCATTCTTCGACAATTTCATTGCGTCCGACTTAGTGGCACTGCAAGCGAGTGGCGTTACGTCCAGTCATTTACTTTAGTTATTACTGAAACAGATTGCTACTTCATGAGTCGGTGAATATTTAAAAAAGGAAGAAAGTAATGGTCGGGGATATCGAGCGGCTTATCGAATTATCGATACGATATATATATATATATTTATATCTTTTTTAATGCTCTTAACTATTTCGGTAGATTTCTCGAGATAGTCTTCGATATTATCGGTATATTTGCCATTCGAGTTCATTTCCGATGTTTTTTTTCTTATTTCACACGAATTGTGTTTACCGCAAAATTAAATAATTTTAAAACAGTCTAAAAATATATTATAGATACTAAATAAAATACATTTCTATATATATTTTTACTTGAACTTTATATAAAATTTTTATAGTATAATTAAAATAATTTATAGAATATTATATAGCATTAATTTTAATTTTAGCAGCATATTTTTATATAACAAAAATGTTGCACGGAGAATATTTTACTAAATTTAAAAATTATCATTGAGTATAGTTTTTGTTTTTATTTTATGCAGTTGTTTTTTCTCGTCTACTGAATCAGCTCAACGCACCGTTCATTTCAAACTTCCTTTAAATTTTATGCTTTGTGTGTACCTATGGAAAACATTCAATGATGAACATTCCACTACGACGGAACTCTATGGACACTTTTTTTTATCGTGACGGTTTAATTATATGCTACGTTGCATCCGGAATTCTCTCGGAAATTAATATCTCGTAACCCATGTCTGCTCTTGTGTTTATAGATAGAGAACTAGGCGATTGATCGTCGGCCGCGAAATACGTAAAATCCCGAGGGCCGCGTGATATAGCATTCGCAATTTTCGCTGATGGTGTTTATAGAGCAGGCGAAATACGTGTATTTGCACACGAAGATGTTATCGCGGCGAGAACACGCGTGTCCTATGAATTTTAATGTAAATTACAGCTGCTGTATATTTTTCGTTTATCGTCTATGGAAAATAGGATGCCGGCTTTTTATTATATTAGGACGGCCTTCGTGACAAGGAAGATCAGTTTTATTACTTCGCATGGATAATTCGAAAATTATATTACTTCTGATATTAGAACCGAGTAATCCATTCAATCTTGCTCGGATATCCAGGTGTTTCCTATCACAATTTGTTGCATAACTGTGACCTCGCGCAACACTATACCGACGACTTCCTACGCCACCATCGTCAGCAACAGGATCGATAATCGAGCAGTTCCCAACAGGAGAATGGCATAGAAAATTAATCTGTTCTGGCGAAGTTTGCTCCCATCTTGTCTGGAACTGACCATTTCTACTTCGTCCATATTGCATTGTTCTAAATAAAACATTTGTCCTACTATTGGCTTTTTTTCGGCTTACAGACACAAATGTACGATTGCCTGTCGTTGGTAGTGGGATTTTTTGCTTTTTCCAGCATCGTATAGTGGTTAATTACGGGAAGTATCCTGGTACTTTTTATCGGCTTGTCCGGGTACGAAAATATTGTTCAGCGAGTCAACTACGTGCCGGCAGTCGAAAAACTTCGTACCAACATAATACTAAGCGGATGCTATCGTTCGTAACTTTCCGTGAGCAAAAAGTAAGCAGACATATCAGCCGGAGAAATGAAAGGAAAACTTTTTTGTCGCTACCTATACGTTTCTATGCGTATTCGACCACAAGCCGTAAAATCAAGTCGAATGAAGTTTTAATTGAAGTATATAATCATTAAAATAAAGAGCTTTAGTAGACTAATTAACGTTTTTATATGTTCCGTGCAAAGCCAATTGAATCGTTATGTGTGACCTATTTACACTAATTACTTTTTACTAAACGGACTGTTTTTAAGATTAACTGGGAAAAATTTTCATTTATGCTTATTGACAAAAGCGGATTTTGATTGTAAAAAGCAGGTTTTTAGACACGTTCGCTTCCTATTGGAAAGGGGAGAGAAATTTTGGCAAAACAGCATTGTTCTACTGAGAATGCGCAAACACATCATGGAGATGAGTAAACAACTCTCGGCACATGAACGGAATTGGCCACTTTTAGAACAACACTTTTCCCATCTATCTGTCGCTAGATTAGTTTATCCATAGTTGAGTTGGTTTATCGTTTAAATTATGACTAAATCTTAACGCGAAATTTCTACCAACCTTTATCAATTTTAAAGAATTGAATAAATACATATTTAAAGAAAGAAATAATGTCTTTGGGGTCATTGGCTTTTGCAAATCAAGTTAAAGTGATTTAATAGGAGTTAAAATAAAACGCAAAGTTGCCAGAAAATTGAAAACGGGGAGACAATTATATACGTACATATTTTATATTTCATTGGTTTTTATGGCTCTAACTGAAAACAGAAAGTTATTGAAAATTATTGATCAAAACAATGCCCCATTATGTTCCAATATTTCGAAAATCCTACGCGTCAATTACAGCATTTACAATACATGAAAATTTATTAAATTTCGATTTTTATTTAAAACTTCATCGCCCCTCTGTTTGACACGAAAAATGGAGAACTAATTTTATTCAAAAAACTTTTACCAAACTATTAGTGTGTAATGTACTAATCTTATTTATTCTTTAATTGTACCTTAATAAGAAAAAATAATTTTATCAAAGTTTTCTTATGTATAGACGCAGATTATATTGCCATTATTATCGTTACTTCAAACTTTCTTACTATGTAAATGATAATTTACAAATAAATGCAGTTTATACAAATTACAATGTGTATGTACGTCATTATGAAAAACACGACAAAGTCGTACAAAGAGCAAGAAGAATCACTTATATCAAATTTACTTCTGTGAGATGCTTTCGAAAGGCATAACTGTTCTGCGGAGGCAACAAAATTGTACAGGCATTCAATGTTTTAGAACCTTAACTCTCTTTGATTTTATATTCTTCGAGTCTGCGTTAGATGGTCCGTAGGGCTCCTTTGCTTTCTACTTTATTCGCTGTACACCTCTCGCTACGACTCTATCCTGCCTCAGTGGCGCATAATCCAGTTTACGTATCGCAAGAGACGAATCATCCGTTTGCATTTCACGATATGAGGTCGCATGAATATTTGGCCGCCTGCCTCTCCGCAGGCAAGAATTACGTATTCAGAAAATAGTTCGAGCGCCATCGGGCTGGCCGGGAACCAAAAAATAACACGGCTCTCTAGGAACTACTGGACTATATTCTCTAAAGATACTCCTCGCTTTATCTACTTATGTATCCTAATCCGCGCGATATCCTCAATATTTATTATATTTATTTATTATATAGCCGTCTTTCTAGCGTATTGTTTTCGCTTGACTTGCGACGATGCCTGTCATTTATGGCGAATCGATTCCTATTGTGAAAACAGTAAGAAAACGTGTATGTTTATCTACTTCAATTCAAATCTTTGTGAGAGGTATTTCCATTGATATATTATTCGGATCAACTGTACGAAATGAAATTTTAAAATAAAGTTGGATCGTACGCATCTCATACATAAATGGATTTTTTGCAAACATATGCGTTAAAAACATATTTCTATTTCTTTGAGATTTTTAAAATTGCTTCAGCTGAAGCAATACAGATGATAGTTCCATTAATCATCTCGGATGATTACTTTCGCAGCATTCACCGATGTTTTCACGCTCACACCACGAGAGTACATATACTCGCTATATTTGTTGCAGTACACGAAACAGTAAGTTTCATTTCATAA